CAGTATCCGAATATCTTTGCCATGGTTTTCACAGCTGTCCTACCAAGTGCTAATCTACAACAGGTTTCTAGTTTTACTTTCACACACCTCTCTAATAATTCCCCTCCATATTTATCCCCTCATTTTTGGCTTCATCACATCTTGTGAGCTGTGAGTGCTCATTTTTTATGGATTTTTTCTTGCCCTTTTTCCACTTTTTTTTTTTTTAACTCAACAGTCATTTTTAACTAGTTATTGCAAATGTTCTTGCAACCAGCAACCTCCTACCTATCCAGTAGCTATTCCACAAGGTCTCAACTGTCCCTGTTTAATACTTCTTAGCTCCACTGTATCCCTGTATAGAACAGGACATGAACTGTTGGCAAGCTATCCCAACAGATAGCTAATGAGTTTGTTTAATTTACAGGCAGAGCCATTCAAAGATCCATTGAAAGAACGATCCATTGGTTTGTTCCCAATTTTGTTTTTAACTTTCAAATTTGGAAAATGGTTTTGTGGTTTCCTTGTGCTCTTTCATGCACCACCAAACCCAACCCTGCTTAGCAACCATGACAAAGATCAGCTGAACTACTACTTGCTGTGGCATATATTTTTACAATTATGATAAAAAATGAAAAACACTAAAATTCAATAATTTTATTTAGAATTTGCAGGAAGTACAGGAAATTCTCTAATTTAAAATGACATTAGACAAATCAAATAAGGGGGAAAAGTTAAGACATATCAGAATTCTAAATTCAGGTCACTCAATACTTTAATTAATAACATGGATGGTTCAAGTTAACGTGACATATCAAGCCGAACACTTTTTATCATTATTCCATAAACCATAACTAGAAATCCACGCAGCCAAGCCAGCCGCGTAGATATACTACCAATTCCAGTTTGATGAATTTTGTGCTTCATTAAAACAGACCAATATCATACCTTACTCTGTTTCAAAATTGTGCATTTGAAAACAAAACAATTGTTGTAAAGCAGCTCTCCTAGCACCCTCCAAATCTGTTGGATTAAAACAGACATTATTGGCAGGTCATGGATTTGAAGCAGTTCAAACAGTCTGGCTTTGAGATTTACAACAAACAGGAATAAAGGCCTTTCAGCTCTCTTAAATATTGCTTAAAAGTTCTCAATTCCAACAAGAGCCAGCATCATAGCAAGTCTCTCAGAATGGGAGTGATCTGTATGCAGCAATCTCCACTGAATCATACAGCTCCTTTCCTCTGTCTTTTAAATTTGTCCTTCCTCATGTTTGTTCTTTTTGCAACTTAGAACTAAGGAGAAATTTCCTGACAGTTAGAACAATTA